AAAATTCGAATTAATTCAAAAAATTTCGATTATTAAAATGTTAAATTTGAATAATTTAAACCAAAAAAAAAGATTTTTAAAGGAAAATTTTACATTTTCAACAAATTTTCCTAAAAAAATACATGTTTAAATAATTTCGAATTTTCGAACATTGAAATTTTGTATCGAAAATGTTAAATTTTTAAAATTTACTTTGAATTATGCTTGAAATTTGTAAAAATAGTGATTTTGAGCAATTTTCGAAAATTCGAAATTAATTTCGAAAATTCGAACATGAATTCGAAATTCGCGAAAATGTTAAATTTGAATAATTTAAGCCATAAAACAACTTTTTTAAATGAAAATTTTACATTTTCAAAAAATTTTCTTAAAAAAATTACATGTTTCAACAATTTCGAATTTTCGAACATCGAAATTTTTTATCGAAAATGTTAAATTTTTATAATTTAGGTTGAGTTCTGGTTGAATATTTCAAAAATTATGATTTTTAACAATTTTTAAAAATTCGAAATTAATTTCGAAAATTCGAATATGAATTCGAAATTCGGGAAAATTTTAAATTTGAACAATTTCAGCCATAAAACAAGCTTTTTAAAGGAAAATTTTACGTTTTTAGCAAATTTTCCTAAAAAATTGCATGTTTTAACAATTTCGAATTTTCGAACATTGAAATTTTGTATTAAAAATGTTAAACTTTTATAATTTAGGTTGAATTTTGGTTGAAAATTGTAAAAGTAATGATTTATAACAATTTTCGAAAGTTCGAAATTAATTTCGAAAATTCGAATATGAATTCGAAATTCGGGAAAATTTTAAATTTGAACAATTTAAGCCATAAAACAAGCTTTTTAAAGAGAAAATTTGACATTTTTAACAAATTTTCGTAAAAAAATTACATGTTTCAACAATTTCGAATTTTCGAACATTGAAATTTTGTATCGAAAATTTTAAATTTTTAAAATTTACTTTGAATTATGCTTGAAATTTGTAAAAATAGTGATTTTGAGCAATTTTCGAAAATTCGAAATTAATTTCGAAAATTCGAATATGAATTCGAAATTCGGGAAAATGTAAAATTTGAACAATTTAAGTTAAAAAAAAATAAGATTTTCTAATTTTCATTAATTTTGAAAAATTTTTCTCTTTGTCTTTCTATTCCTCTTGCCATGTTTTTCGGAAAAGCCTTTCCTTTATATTGGATCCTTCATTTGCCATTTTGTTTATATATATTTATTGATTTGTTTGTTTGTTCTGTAGTTCAAATATATATAATAAGTATATAGATAATTTTCTTTATTTCTCTTAAATTTTAAAAAATATACGTTTGTATTTATTTTTGTTGTTTTTATTTTATAGTTTCCAAATAATTTACAATGCTACGCATAAAATATTACATTTATTTGTTTTTAAAGGTTTTCTTTTTGTTTTTTTTTTTTTGAAATCTTTTTTGCTTTAAACAGTTTGCTGTGTTTTCATTTATTTTTCTTTTACTTTAAGGACTAAAATATATTTTTGTTTTTTTTTTCTTTTCTCTGAATAAAATACGAAATTAATTTGTTTTATTTTTATTAAATTTAGTTTCCTGTGGTTTTAGTTTATTTGTGTTTTATGTTTTTTTTTTTTTTTTTTGTTCAAAATGTATTTTGTTGTTAGTTTAAAAATGAGTTTTTGTTGTATTTTGTTTAAAAGCATTAATCTTTTTTTTTGTTTTTAATGTATTTTTGTTTTATTTAAATTTGTTTTTATCACACATTCTACAACTAAGTTATAATAATCGTGTTTAATCATTATAATCGTTAGTTATTATTTATTTTTTTATCATTATTATTTGTTTTTTTTTTATATATTTTTTGTATTCAGTTAACTCTAGGTCCAAATATATTTATTTATATAATAGTTATATATAAGTTTTAAAAATATATTTATTATTTAAAGTTTTAATCAAATGTTGGGGCTTAAGGGCATAAACTTAATAATAAAGTGAATCAAATTTGAAAGGAGAAAAACCTATAATTTTAAAAAAAGAATAAAAACAAAATTTTAATAGAATTTCATATGTTTGGAAATTGTTTTTAAATTTCATTTTCGAAATTCGAAATTTAAGAAAAAAATTAAAAAATGTTTGAAAATTTTTCATTTGAAAGTTTTTTAAAGAAAAGTTTTCCAAAGAAAATTGATCAATTGAAAAGTTCTCTAAAGAAAACTGATCAATCGCAATATTTTTTAAAAAACGCTGATCGATTAAATTGATTTCTAAAGAAAACTGATAGATTGAAAAGCTTTTTAATAACAACTGCTCGATCTAAATGTTTTTTAAAGAAAACTGATCGATTGAAGTTTGCTATAGAAAAGAATTGATCGATCGAAATGTTTTCTAAAAAAACTGATCAATTTTGTAAAGAGAACGGATCGATGTGTTACAAAGAAAACTGATCGATTGAAAAGTTTTCTAAGGAAAACTGATCGATCAAAAAGTTTTCTAAGGAAAACTGATCGATCGAAATGTTTTCTAAGGAAAACTGATCGATTAAAAAGTTTTTTAAAGATCGAATAGTTTTTTTTTTTCAAAGAGTAATACTGAATCGAAATGTTTTACACAGAAAACTGATCGATTGAAATGTTCTCTAAAGAGAACTGATCGATCGAATAGTTTTCCAACGAGAACTGATGGATCCAAATGTTTTATACAAAAAAGTGATTGATTGAAAACTTTTCTAAGAAAAACTGATCGAGTGAAATGTTCTCTAAGGAAAACTGATCGATTTAAAAGTTTTCTAAGGATCGAAGAGAAATATTGAATCAAAATGTTTGAGACAGAAAACTGATCGATCGAAGAAATGTTCTCTAAATAAAATTGATCGATTGAAAAGTTTTTTAAGGAAAACTGATCGATCCAAAAGTTTCTAAAGAAAAATTATCGATCAAAGAGTTTGCTAAAGAAAACATTAATCGAAAACTGTATTGATCGGTAGTTGTCTAACAGAATTGATCGGTAGTTTTCTAAAGAAAACTATAACGATCGCGATTAATCGCAAAGTTTTCTATAAAAAAAACTATATCGATCGCGAGCAATTGCAAAGTTTTTTAAAAAAAAAACTATATCTATTGCAAAGTTTTCTATACAAAACTATATCGATCGCGATCAATCGCAAAGTTTTCTATAGAGAACTACATATATCGATCGGGATCATTCGCAAAGTTTTTTAAAGAAAACTTTAACGATCGCGATCAATCGCTCAGTTTTCTATAGAAAACTATATCGATCGCGATCAATCGCAAAGTTTTCTATAGAGAACTATATCGATCACTATCAATCGCAGAGTTTTTATAGAAAACCATATCCACCGTGATCATTCGCAAAGTTTTTTAAAGAAAACTTTAACGATCGCGATCAATCGCTCAGTTTTCTATAGAAAACATTAACAATCGCGATCAATCGCTCCGTTTTCTATACAAAACTATATCGATCACTATCAATCGCAGAGTTTTTATAGAAAACTATATCGACCGTGATCAATCGCAAAGTTTTTTATAGAAAACTATATCGATCGCGATCAATCGCAAAGTTTTTTATAGAAAAGTTTATCGATCACGATCAATCGCAAAGTTTTTTATAGAAAACTATATCGATCGTGATCAATCGCAAAGTTTTTTATAGAAAACTATATCGATCGTGATCAATCGCAAAGTTTTCTAAAGAAAATGTTAACGATCGCGTTCAATCAAGAAAGTTTTCTATAAAGAACTATATCGACCGCGATCAATCGCCAAGTTTTCTATAGAAAACAGTATCGATCGCTATAAATCGCCATGTTTTTTTTAAAGAAAATTGTATCGATCGCGATCAATCGGCAAGTTTTCTAAAGAAAACTATAACGATCGCGATCAATAAAGATTTTTAATAGAAAACTATATCGATAGCGATCAATCGTAATGGTTTCTATAGGAAACTGTAACGATCATTGATCGCTGAATTCAAAAGTTTGCAAAAATTTTAAAACTTAGTATAAATATCCGTTTTAAGTTGCCAGCAGGATGAAATAGCTTATTTTCGGAAAGCGCTACCTTTCACTCTTCAGCATCCATGCAACTTTAATAGATAGCTTAATAAAATTTCGTTAAAAAACATATGAAATTCTTTAGAAAGGATCAGAACATCAGAACTTTTTTTAATTAAAATAAATTTTCTAAAACTATTATTTTTAACTAAAAGACATTTATAATTCGTTGTTAGGGTTATAGGAAACAAAAACTACAATATTAAAACTATAATATTACACAAATATTTTTTTTCCATTATCAGTTCCTTTTTAAGAGAAAACTTAAATCAAGCAAAAGCCAAAAGCTAAAATGAAAACTGTAAAACAAAAATCAAACGTTTACATAATGTGTTTAATAGAATATTAAAAATTTGATTTTAAGAAATAATTTTGTTTTTTTATTTATATAAATTATATAAATCGTTTATAATAATTATATTAAATAGCTAAAATAAAAAACTAAAAGAAAAAATGTTAAACATTTTCGTTTTCGTTAATAAAAACATAAAATAATAAATTAAACTAATAAACAGGGGGAGAGTTTCTTGTGTTAAAAACAAAATTAATTTTGTTTAAATATTTTTTTTGATTTTCAAGTTTGTTTTTTTTTTATGGTTCAAAATTAAATTTAGAATTATATTTTTTTAAATCCTGCTATTTCTTCATAATCATATTCTTTTAACTAAAAATATTGTTGTTATTGTAATAGTTGTAAGATTTAAAAAAAAACAATGAGAAATTTTGTTTAAAACTATAAATATAATCAATAGACATAAACTCAAATTGTAAATTTATAGATTGCCGTAAAAACATAAAGTAACATTAGCGATGCAATGACAATCGTCAAGATAATCAGTATAATGCTTGCGAATATATGCAAACATCAGTCAGTGGGGCCTTTGCACAGTAATTTCCGGGCAAAGCCAATGGCCGAATCTCACAAAATCTCACAACATCGACAGTAACGTGGTCGTTGTCCAGTTGTAACTGGAGGCGGTGTAACTGGGGCAAAGTACGCATGAACTTTTATATTTGGTAAATGTTGCTGGGAAAAGAGAGAGAGAGAGAGAGAGAGAAAAAGAGAGATACAATTAGTAAGAAAAAAAATAAAAAAAAACTTTTCCATCGATCGGTCCATCGAAAAGTTTTATAAGGAAAACAGAACGTTTAATCAAACAAAACTGAACGATCCAGCGATCAATCGAAAAGTTTTTAAAGAAAGTTGAACGATTCAGCGATCAATCGAAAAGTTTTCTAAAGAAAACTGAACGATTCAGGGTTCAATCGAAAAGTTTTCTAAAGAAAACTGAACGATCCAGCGATCAATCGAAAATTTTTCTAAAGAAAACTGAACGATTCAGCGATCAATCGAAAAGTTTTCTAAAGAAAACTGAACGATTCAGCGATCAATCGAAAAGTTTTCTAAAGAAAACTGAACGATCCAGCGATCAATCGAAAAGTTTTCTAAAGAAAACTGAACTATCCAGCGATCAATCGAAAAGTTTTCTAAAGAAAACTGAACGATCCAGCGATCAATCGAAAAGTTTACTAAAGAAAACTAAACGATCTAGTGATCAATCGAAAAGTTTTCTAAAGAAAACCGAACGATCCATCAATCGATCGATTGATCGAAAAGTTTTTTGAAAAAAACAGAACGATCCATCGATCGATCGAAAAGTTTTCTAAAGAAAACTTCGACTATCGATCGAACGAAAAGTTTTCTAAAGAAAACGACCATCTATCGATCGAAAAGTTTTCTAAAGAAAACATATCCATCGATCGATCGAAAAGTTTTCTAAAGAAAACTGAACGATCCATCGATCGATCGAAAAGTTTTCTAAAGAAAACTTCGACCATCGATCGATCGAAAAGTTTTCTAAAGAAAACTTCGACCATCGATCGATCGAAAAGTTTTCTAAAGAAAACTTCGACCATCGATCGAGCGAAAAGTTTTCTAAAGAAAACTCATCCATCGATCGATTGATTGATCGAAAAGTTTTCTAAAGAACTGAAGAAAACGGAACGATCGAAATGTTTTTAAAGAAACTGATCAGTAAGTTTTTGTCCTAAATTATATTTAACATTTAATCCCAGTTAAGAGTTACCTTTAGTTTGCGTATTGCTGCTCTTGTTATCAATTGGCAGTCAAATAGCTCAATTCTTTGTAAATTATGACAAGATACTAAATGCTCTAATGTACGATCAGTGATTAAAGGACAATTATCCAATTCGAGGACGGATAAACTTTCGGCGGCACAACTACCAGCGGCTAGTTGGCGTATACCATCATCCGTTATCAGTTCACAGTGCGATAAAAACTAAATAAAATAAATTTATTATAAAATATAGAAAAAAATTGATAAAAATAAAAAGAATTCATACCAATTTTTCTAAACTTGGACAACCAGTGGCCAAGTGGGCTAAAGTTAAATCAGTTATTTGATTGCACTCTTCCAAGTCCATGCGTTCCAGATATTTACAATTTTTACCCAAAGCCTGAAAACCCAAATCGGTAAAATTACGACAACCGGATACTTCTAATGTATTTAAATAGGGATTATTTTGCGAGAGTGCCATCAATGAGAGATCGGTCAGTTCGGCACATTTGGATACACAGAGTTTTTGTAAATTGTGACAATTACTTGCGATTTGTCTAATCGATGAATCGGTTATAGACTGTCGAGATGAAAAGGCAATAATAAATATGATTTGAATTGGATTTGAAGAAAGATTGAATAGGTTATTGGGAACTTACCTCACAGCTGTGTAAATTGAGCACCATTAAATTTGGACAATATTTAGCCAAACACGAGATGGCATTATCGTTCACCTGCTTACAACCTTTACTGCAGAATTTTCGCAAATAAACACAACCACGTGCTAAAGCTTCAACACCATTTTCGGTTATTAAATGACACCATGATATATTGATTTCTAATAGATTCTGGAAAAAGAAAAAAAACAATAAACAAATTAAAGGAAATAATTAAAATTTTATTTATTAGATATTTTACTTAATTAACTTTTAATTATTTTAAATAAAACGTATTGATCGATCTACCGAAAGTTGTCTCAAAAAAACTCATCCATCGATCGCTTAATCGGAAAGTTTTCTAAAGAAAACTTCGACCATCGGTCGATCGAAAAGTTTTCTAAAGAAAACTTCGACCATCGATCAATCGAAAAGTTTTCTAAAGAGAACTCATCCATCTATCAATCGAAAAGTTGTCTTCTTCTTAATAATTTCCCTGGGGGAAAATTGATTAGATTTTGCACAACACTGTATGTATTTCCCATATAGAATGCATTGTGTTTATATATATACTATTCAAGGTTTAAGAGCCATCTTCTGATGACCTGATTTATGTCTCCTGATGACCTAATTTAAACTTTAAAGTTTTCTTATTATCAATGTCACTTTTGTTAATAAAATTCTAAACAACTTTTTTAACTAATTAATTAAAAAACTAAAGGATTGCTTTCATTGTTTTCTTTAACTAGTTTCCCTTTGAAATTTAAACTCTTAAAAAATTATATTTCATTGATAAGAAACAACAGAGAAACATAAACGATTGAAGTGCATTTCCGAGAAGAAGGAAAAACTGCATTTAACAGCTGAGCTGTTTTTTTTTTTTTTTTTTTGGTGAAATATAAACCTCCTTGTTCTTCATGTGTATTTTGTTTTACAAAAACAATTGGAGGTTAAAGTTATCGACGAGAGAATGTCACATAGATACTTGAATGCAGAGTATATAGTAACACAGCAACAACAACTAAATAAATTCAAAGAAGAAGGGTTTACATAAAGTAAAAAAAAATAACTGCAAAAGTGGGCCAATGTAAAAAGTCCAACAACAAATATAAACTTAAACAAAACTTACACCTACCTAAATATATAAACGCTTAAACACGAAGAGCGAGAGAGAGAGAGGAAGGGATATTAGAAAGGATTAAGTAGAAAACTAAAATAAACATTTTAAGGATTTTTATTGAAAAGTTGTTGCTTGCAATAATAAATAAACAACCAACAACAAAATAAACTGTGAACTGTAAATAAAAGCTGCTTACTCTCTGTTTATAAGGTAAAACAACAACAACAACTTATAATAATAAAAAAGGACTCTTTAACCAAACAAATAGAGAGAAAGGAAGAGAAAAATTTGAAGGAAGTGGCCAAAAACTGTTTTGAGGCAAAAAGTACCTTTTTTTGAAAATATTTTTTAAAAATTGATTTACATACTAGACTATAGACTAGACTATAGACTATAGTCTAGACTATAGACAAGACTATAGACTAGACTATAGACTAGACTATAAACAAGACTATAGACTAGACTATAGACTAGACTATAGACTAGACTATAGACTAGACTATAGACTAGACTATAGACTAGACTATAGACTAGACAATAGACTAGACAATAGACTAGACTATAGACTAGACTATAGACTAGACTATAGACAAGACTATAGACTAGACTATAGACAAGACTATAGACTAGACTATAGACTAGACTATAGACTAGACTATAGACTAGACTATAGACTAGACTATAGACTAGACTATAGACTAGACTATAGACTAGACTATAGACTAGACTATAGACTAGACTACAGACTAGACTATAGACGAGACTATAGACTAGACTATAGACTAGACTATAGACTAGACTATAGACTAGACTATAGACTAGACTATAGACTAGACTATAGACTAGACTATAGACTAGACTATAGACTAGACTATAGACTAGACTATAGACTAGACTATAGACTAAACTATAGACTAGACTATAGACTAGACTATAGACTAGACTATAGACTAGACTATAGACTAGACTATAGACTAGCCTATAGACTAGACTATAGACTAGACTATAGACTAGACTATAGACTAGATATAGACTATAGACTAGACTATACTAGACTATAGACTAGACTATAGACTAGACTATAGACTAGACTATAGACTAGACTATAGACTAGACTATAGACTAGACTATAGACTAGACTATAGACTAGACTATAGACTAGACTATAGACTAGACTATAGACTAGACTATAGACTAGACTATAGACTAGACTATAGACTAGACTATAGACTAGACTATAGACTAGACTATAGACTAGACTATAGACTAGACTATAGACTAGACTATAGACAGACTATAGACTAGACTATAGACTAGACTATAGACTAGACTATAGACTAGACTATAGACTAGACTATAGACTAGACTATAGACTAGACTATAGACTAGACTATAGACGACTATAGACAAGACTATAGACTAGACTATAGACTAGACTATAGACTAGACTATAGACTAGACTATAGACTAGACTATAGACTAGACTATAGACTAGACTATAGACTAGACTATAGACTAGACTATAGACTAGACTATAGACAAGACTATAGACTAGACTATAGACTAGACTATAGACTAGACTATAGACAAGACTATAGACAAGACTATAGACTAGACTATAGACTAGACTATAGACTAGACTATAGACTAGACTATAGACTAGACTATAGACTAGACTATAGACTAGACTATAGACTAGACTATAGACTAGACTATAGACTAGACTATAGACTAGACTATAGACTAGACTATAGACTAGACTATAGACTAGACTATAGACTAGACTATAGACTAGACTATAGACTAGACTATAGACTAGACTATAGACTAGACTATAGACTAGACTATAGACTAAACTATAGACAAGACTATAGATTAGACTATAGACTAGACTATAGATTAGACTATAGACTAGAATATAGACTAGACTATAGACTATAGAAGACTATAGACTAGACTATAGACTAGACTATAGACTAGACTATAGACTAGACTATAGACTAGACTATAGACTAGACTATAGACTAGACTATAGACTAGACTATAGACTAGACTATAGACTAGACTATAGACTAGACTATAGACTAGACTATAGACTAGACTATAGACTAGACTATAGACTAGACTATAGACTAGACTATAGACTAGACTATAGACTAGACTATAGACTAGACTATAGACTAGACTATAGACTAGACTATAGACTATAGACTAGACTATATACTATAGACTAGACTATAGACTATAGACTAGACTATAGACTAGACTATAGACTAGACTATAGACTAGACTATAGACTAGACTATAGACTAGACTATAGACTAGACTATAGACTAGACTATAGACTAGACTATAGACTAGACTATAGACTAGACTATAGACTAGACTATAGACTAGACTATAGACTAGACTATAGACTAGACTATAGACTAGACTATAGACTAGACTATAGACTAGACTATAGACTAGACTATAGACTAGACTATAGACTAGACTATAGACTAGACTATAGACTAGACTATAGACTAGACTATAGACTAGTCTATAGACTAGACTATAGGCTAGACTATAGACTAGACTATAGACTAGTCTATAGACTAGACTATAGACTAGACTATAGACTAGACTATAGACTAGACTATAGACTAGACTATAGACTAGACTATAGACTAGACTATAGACTAGACTATAGACTAGACTATAGACTAGACTATAGACTAGACTATAGACTAGACTATAGACTAGACTATAGACTAGACTATAGACTAGACTATAGACTAGACTATAGACTAGACTATAGACTAGACTATAGACTAGACTATAGACTAGACTATAGACTAGACTATAGACTAGACTATAGACTAGACTATAGACTAGACTATAGACTAGACTATAGACTAGACTATAGACTAGACTATAGACTAGACTATAGACTAGACTATAGACTAGACTATAGACTAGACTATAGACTAGACTATAGACTCTATAGACTAGACTATAGACTAGACTATAGACTAGACTATAGACTAGACTATAGACTAGACTATAGACTAGACTATAGACTAGACTATAGACTATAGACTAGACTATAGACTAGAAAGACTATAGCTAGACTAGACTATAGAATGCTATAGACTAAAAGACTATAGACTAGACTATAGACTAGACTATAGACTAGACTATAGACTAGACTATAGACTAGACTATAGACTAGACTATAGACTAGACTATAGACTAGACTATAGACTAGACTATAGACTAGACTATAGACTGACTATAGACTAGACTATAGACTAGACTATAGACTAGACTATAGACTAGACTATAGACTAGACTATAGACCTAGACTATAGACTAGACTATAGACTAGACTATAGACTAGACTATAGATAGACTATAGACTAGACTAATAGACTAAGACTATAGACTAGACTATAGACTAGACTATAGACTAGACTATGACTAGACATAGACTAGACTATAGACTAGACTATAGACTAGACTATAGACTAGACTATAGACTAGACTATAGACTAGACTATAGACTAGACTATAGACTAGACTAGTCAATAGTCTATCTAGAGTATAAACTAGACTATAGACTTGTCAATAATCTATCTAAACTATAGACGAGACATTGGAAGTAACGTAAGTTAAGATTTACTTCCAGATATGGGGTAAGAAGTTTCTAGCAGGCAGCTGGACCTTAATACAAATGCTTAAGGACAGCTTTATTTCATCCCATATGATTTTAACAAAATCCCCAAACTTTGGTACTTTTCTAAAGTACTAAAATTTGTAATAATAACAAATCAACTCAACGTCCCTGACACTCAGAAATTGCATATATAATATACACAAACACACACACAAAAAACGGAAAAACCTACATGTTTGTCAAACTAGGCCAGCAAACAATAAAAAGAGAATACGAAGGATATTTTAAAGCTTTTTTGTTGTAGTTTGCATTTTTTGCAAAAACATTAACTTGCGAGAACAGGGGCAAAGACAGTAATGTAACATTTATTATATAGAACACAGGACATACAATAAAAGGACATAAATGAGACACGGAGATTAAAACAGAAATAGAGAGAGCGCGAGTTTAAATAAATAGCGCTCTTTTAGGCCTTATTTTGGTGTTGTTGCTATTTTTTATTTCTGTTTCGTTTTGTTATTATTGTATTATGTTTTCTTTCAACAAGGTTTGTTTATATTGTGAAAATGTTTTTTTTTTTTTTGTTTTTTGAAGTGAAAAAGGATTTGGTAAAAGAACTATATATTATATATAAATAATATACAGATTTACATATATAGAGAGTAGTATGTATAAAAGTATGTATGGTTAGTTACAAACAATGTAAAGAAGGGTAATATAATGAGAAAGTATAAAAGACAAAAAAAAATCAATGATAATTATATGTCATTTAAAGACAATTTAATTCAGTGCTTTTTATTAAAATAAAAGAATTTAAATTTAATTTATCTTTTTTTAAATTTTAAAACTTTGTACTCTCAACTTTTTAACATTCCTTGTCTACTTTTCGATATCAAAAGAGAGCAGAAGAATTATTAATCACTTCTTAACTCTTTCTTTAACGATAAATTCTCTTTAGTTTGTAATTTTAAATAAATTTTTCAAATTAGCAACTTTTGAATTTCTTTAACTTACCGGACAACCATCCGAAATATATTTTAAACTATTATCGGTTATATTAGAACATGATTCTAAATTAATGGAGGCTAATTTTGAACAATGGCGACTTATCGATTCGGTCGATATATCGGTAATTTTATTACATTCAGATAAATCCAACTGTTCTATGTTGTGGCAGTGGTTGGCTAAAGTTCTATAAGAAATGAAAAAAAAAGACAAAATTATTAAATTTTATAAATGAATTGTATAAAAGAAAGGGACAGAAGTAAGAGGACACACAAAATTTTATCTACCTGTCTATCTATCTATCTATCTATCTATCTATCTATCTATCTATCTATCTATCTATCTATCTATCTATCTATCTATCTATCTATCTATCTATCTATCTATCTATCTATCTATCTATCTATCTATCTATCTATCTATCTATCTATCTATCCTCTATCTATCTATCTATCTATCTATCTATCTATCTATCTATCTATCTATCTATCTATCTATCTATCTATCTCTATCTATCTATCTATCTATCTATCTATCTATCTATCTATCTATCTATCTATCTATCTATCTATCTATCTATCTATCTATCTATCTATCTATCTATCTATCTATCTATCTATCTATCTATCTATCTATCTATCTATCTATCTATCTATCTATCTATCTATCTATCTATCTATCTATCTATCTATATCTATCTATCTATCTATCTATCTATCTATCTATTTCTCTCTATCTATCTATCTATCTATCTATCTATCTATCTATCTATCTATCTATCTATCTATCTATCTATCTATCTATCTATCTATCTATCTATCTATCTATCTATCTATCTATCTACTATCTATCTATCTATCTATCTATCTATCTATCTATCTATCTATCTATCTCTATCTATCTATCTATCTATCTATCTATCTATCTATCTATCTATCTATCTATCTATCTATCTATTATCTATCTATCTATACTATCTATCTATTCTATCTATCTATCTATCTATCTATCTTCTATCTATCTATCTATCTATCTATCTATCTAGCTATCTACTATATCTATCTATCTATCTATCTATCTATCTATCTATCTATCTATCTATCTATCTATCATCTATCTATCTATCTATATCTATCTATCTATCTATCTATCTATCTATCTATCTATCTATCTATCTATCTATCTATCTATCTACTATCTATCTATCTATCTTATATCTATCTATCTATCTATCTATATCTATCTATCTATCTATCTATCTATCTATATATCTATATATCTATCTATCTATCTATCTATCTATCTATCTATCTATCTATCTATCTATCTATCTATCTATCTATCTATCTATCTATCTATCTATCTATCTATCTATCTATCTATCTATCTATCTATCTATCTATCTATCTATCTATCTATCTATCTATCTATCTATCATCTATCTATCTATCTATCATATATCTATCCATATCTATCCATATATCTACCTATTTGTCTGTCTGTTTATCTTTCTGTCTGTCTGTTTATTTTTATGTCTGTCTGTTTATCTGTATGTCTGTCTGTCTGTCTGTTTTTCTTTATGTATGTCTGTTTATCTTTATGTCTGTCTGTTAATCTATCTATCTTTCTGTCTGTCTGTCTGTTTATCTTTCTTTCTATCTGTCATTCTGTATGTCTCCGTCATTCTGTCTTTCTGTCTATTCGTCCGTTTTTTTGTATGTTCATCTGACCTTTTTGTCTTTCACTCATTGTGTATGTTTTTTCATCCACTTTCCATCAATGTTTCCGTGTGTCTATCAATTTAAGCTTTGTATTTACTTTAAAATATGTAAATTACCGTATTGATTGATCTCCCACAGATTTGCAACCTCGTAGGGAAAGAAATTTTAAAAATCCTCCACAACGTTGGGATATATTTTCTATGACAGGACCCTAAAAGCAAAGAAAATTTTGCTTAATTATTCTTCAAAAATTTAAGACTCATAAGTAAAGTAAGTTTTAAATACCAACCTCAATATCACGTTGAAAATCAAATAAATTGACTTTCTGCCAGCAGGATCCATCTAAAGCTAAGATATTCCAATATTTGGAGACCTTTAGAATGAAAAGAAATCAAGAACAATTATAATAAAGTTTTAAATTAAAAGTTTAAATAACAGTACTTGTGCACATCTGCATAATGAAACCACATCCAAATATGAGAATATACGTAATAGTATTTCCTTTGGCAGTTGTTTAATAAGTTCATCATCATTATCGTTTGTATTGAGGAATGTTTGCTGTAATTAAACACACATGAAATGAAAAGAAACAACAAGAAAATTATATTAAAATTATTAAAATTGTAGCAACAAAAACGAATTAAATATATTGATTAAATAAGGTAGTTTTTTTATAGTTTTTTTTTTTAATGAAAGAAAATATGTGTGAGAAACAAAAGTAAAAGTGAAATAAAATGAAAATGTTTTGAAATGTTAAATAAAGCGAATGATAACGCTAAACAAAAAGTAACTCTAAAAAATGTTGCCTGTTTATGGGTTAAATCATACAATTTGTTTGAAAACGCCTAAAGAATATTTTTGAAAGTTGTTCTTAACCAATATATAGAAACGAATTTTGGAACTAAATTGAGAAATTTAAAAAAGAATAACTAAATTTTCCAAAATTTTGTTAATTTTTTTGTTGTAATTTTCCACAAAATGACAATTGAATAATAATAATAATAATGATGAATGAATGCGTTTTTTGGTTGAGTTTCTATAAAGCGAATTTATTGTTTCTTTTGAAAGGATTATAGTTAAAAACAAAATATATATTTACAGGTCCATTTTCATCAGATGAATCCACATCCATTTTGTAAGCGTGTGTTTTATTATTGCGTTCGGCAATATTTAAAATATTATTACCCGTAGACGAAGAAGTAATGATGTTTGCACTTGTACTGGGGCCCGTAGCTAAAATTAATTCAGTTTTATTTTTCGGTTTGGTGTTAATAAAAACCCGTTGAACAACTCCCGGACCACAGCCACCACTAACACTTCCTCCACCAGCAGCAGCACCACTAACTAAACCGCCACCAACACCACTACTAACATCCGATGACAAGGTCGAGGATGAAGCTAAAGCCGAAGGTGAAGCCGATGTTATGGACGATGAAGACGACGACGACGATGAAGAAGAGGACGATGAGGCCGAAACATTTGAAGCTACCGAACTCCAAAACGATTGGGCTGTACTAACACAACCACTAATGGCGCCACCGGCCACCCCTAAACCACCACCCACAGCCGCCACACTTAAGAGTTTGCGATTATTATTGTTGCTAAAGCTGAGATTTAAATTGAATGATCTTTTCGTATTTGCATTATTATTATTTTCACGCGTATTTGAACTGTTTAGGGGATTTTGGTGGCGTGCTGGTGATCTAAGGGGAAATATTAATTCTTGACTCCCCGCTCCCTCACTACCGTTTGTGCTGAGACTGCTGTCACCCACACTGAGTGCCTCGACATTGCTAACACCCACCTCAAGACTATCAAGGCCTCCACCTCCACCAATGCCACCACCGCCGCCGCCAGCAGCATCATTAATACCTCCCGCACTAACACTAGCTGCAACAGCCGCTCCACCAACACCACCAGCACCTCCACCACTATTTTCGTAATTGGAATTATTTTGTATAAACATTTAAAATCTTAAACTTTGAAGACGTTGCTTACAATATTAGCTGTTTTCTGAGTTTGCAGTTTAAAACGTT